GGCAAAGAGAGGGGTAGGGTGGGGGGGGGGGTGGAGTGGCCCCTCGCCCATTCAGGCCAATGAATGGGGGAAAAGCTTTCCAGGAAGGTTGACAGATGGAGGGACACAAAGGGACTGGTCAGGGAGGGGGGGGATGATGGACAGATGGACCCCGAAAAGGAGGAGGAGGAGGAGGAGGCAGGAGGGTCTTGCGGACCAAGGTGGACGAGAGTGGACTCTGAATTATATGATGAGATATTATTATACAATTATATATTATTATTATTATCATCATATATATTAATTTTATCATATACTTCAATACTATAGGATATCGATACAATATATATGTTATTTATATTCTTAACTATGATGAGATATTATACAATTATATATTATTATTATCATATATATTAATTTTATTATTTTATTATATAATTTTTATTATATAATTTTATTATAATATTATAGGACATCGATATGTGTTATTTATATTCTTAATTATACAATACATAACATAGCACAATATTATACGGATATTATGTTAATATGATAATTATAATGCAATACATAACATAGCACAATATTATATGGATATCATAGAATATTATGTTAATATGATAATTATAATGCAGTCATAATATATATTATATTACATTAAACTATATACTAATTATATTCCTAATGATAATATCACATATTACATTTATTTACACTTATATAATTATAATGCAATTATAATGTATTACATTAAACCATATACAAATTATATCCCTAATAATAATATCATATATTAAATAATATATGTGAATGTATTTACATTATATTTTATAATATATTAATACAAAAGTTAATATTTAATTATAATACATTATGATATATTAATATGTATTAATTATTATTCACTGTAATATATATTATATGTTATGCTATATAATATAATATAATATGTATTAATTATATCTATTAATTATAATTTAATTTATATGATAATATATGCTACTTTTATTATAATTTATTATTATATTAATTGTAATATAATGAAATACTACTTTATGTTATAATATATTATAACATAAAGTAGTATTTCATTATATTACAATTAATATAATTGTACAATTAATATAATTGTACAATTAATATAATTGTACAATTAATATAATTACATATCATATATTTTATAATTAATACATATATCAATATATTGATATATGTATTAATTATAAAATATATGATATGTAATAGTTATACAATATAATATACTATAAATGTATTATAAATGTATAAATATAATATAAATATGATATAATATGCATAAATGTATTATAATATGATGTTATAATTATTTATTTTACATGTAATATTACTAATAATATAATAATATAATGGCATATAATATAAATATAAGTATAAATGTATTATAATATGATGCTATAATTATATATTTATATTACATGCAATATTACTAATAATATAATAATATAATGGTACGGTGCAATATAATATAATACTATTAATGTATAAATGTATTATAATATGTATAAATAAAATATTAATATAATATTAATATAATATGTATAAATGTATTATAATATAAATGTACTTTATTGTAAATTGCTTTTAATTGCTGTAAACCGCAATGAGTCGCCGATTTAGGCTGAGATATTAGCGGTATACAAGTATATCAAATAAATAAATAAATAAATAAACTATTATATTATTTTATAATAATTACAATATAATATTAATTATAATATAATAGTAACAATTAATCAATAATTAATATCAATAATAACTATAATTAATCACAAGTATATCAAATAAATAAATAAATAAATAAACTATTATATTATTTTATAATAATTACAATATAATATTAATTATAATATAATAGTAACAATTAATCAATAAATATCAATAATAACTATAATTAATCGATAATTATTATAACAATTAACTATTATATTATTTTATAATAATTACAATATAATATTAATTATAATATAATAGCAACAATTAATCAATAATTAATATCAATAATAGCTATAATTAATCAATCATTACTAATTATAATATAACAATTAACTATTATATTATTTTATAATAATTACAATATAATATTAATTACAATATAATATTAATTACAATATTAATTACAATATTAATTACAATATAATATACAGCAACAATTAATTAATCAATAATGAATATCAAGAATAATTATTATTGATTATTGATTATTATTATTATTTATAATCATACACTACAATAATCAATAATGTATATAATATATAATATATATCTATTATATTATATTATAAATATTATAATATATTAATATTATTATATTATTTATATTATATTATTATACAATATTATAATATATTATATATATTATATATTATATTATACAATTATAATATAATATAATAATATAGTAATAAAATATATAATATAATAATATAATATAATATATACAATACTATAATATAATAGTATTATAATAATATAATATAATATA